GTCATCGGGAGGTAGAAGAAGAGGTGCAGCAGCGCGAGCTTCACGTGCGGCCAGACGAACGAGAAGCCAAAGAGGACCACGGCGCCCGGCTTGCCGTACTCCTTGGTCACGTTGGCCGTCGAGATGGACTCGGCGGGCTCCCCGGGCAGCGGCTCAATCTGCGAGGGTGGAGATCACGTGGGTGAGCGAGACGGCGCCGCCGCGACTGTTGGGCACCCTCTTCTGCCGAGAGCGTGCCGCGGCGCCGGTCCGTGCACGCGCTCTCCTCTCCTCTCCCCTCTCCGCACCGGCTCTCCGCACCGTCTTCATCTCCCAGAGCTCCCAGATCGAGTACATGTAGGACATCTGCACCGCCTGCTTGGACATCTGGAACTGCTTGCACTTGAGGACCACGCACACCGACATCTGGTCCGACTGCAGCTCGCAGTCGATCTCCGGGTAGTAGGGCGTGTGCTGGCAGAGCTGGCTGTACGCAAAGGCCTGCAGCTCGACCGCGTCTTGACTCGTCGCGTTGAAGGTGAGCCCCACGTCGAAGACCGCCTTGAACAGCCCGGCGTCCGGGTCCCAGTAGTCCGGGTTGGTCGACGCCTTGTTCCCACCCTCGATCTGTGCGGCGGGAGGGCCGGGCGGCGGCGTCACGATCCGGCACGCGACGCGGGCGAGGGCAGCGCCGCGGCGACGCGGCAGCAGCGCGGGACGGGAGGCGCGCCATGTCGGCGCCAGCCAGCTGCGAGAATCCGAAGATGAGGTGGTTGATCACGATCGTCGTCGAGACGAGCACGCACACCGTTACCGAGTAGGCGCAGCCGAGAGAGTTCTTTCTAGCGTAGAAGGGTTTGCGGTGCGATTTGGGGACTGCCGAGATGCGAGCGGTGCTGCCGAAGGCCCGCGCAGCCTTCTCGGCCTCTAAGCTGGGCATGGCGAGCCAACAAGCGCGCAAGCGTATGTTTGGCGGTGACGACGGTGGCGGCGGCTGCAGCGGCAGTGGCGATGAGGACGGGGAGGACCGAGAGGAGCCTTGGTGAAAGAAGAGAAAGCACCTAGCCTGCTCGGGCGATACAGGTGACGCGCTAGCTTGGGATGTCCGTTGTATTTATTTATTTATTTATAGGTGACGCGCCAAAATCCTGCTCGTGCAGGTGGGGACCTTGTCCTCGTCCCATCCCTCGTTTGGCGTGTCTGCTTTCTTTCTTTCTTTCTTTAGGTGACGCGCCACTGGCAAGCGGTGGGGATCCCTCTCGAGTCGCTCGGGACGGAGCGCTTCCCCACGCTAGCCGCCTCTCATGGGTGCGGCGGTAAATTTCGCACACTGTTCCACGTGAAGCCGGAAGACGGACCTGCGGCTACGAAAGTGGCTGAAGAGGTGGTTAGCGCCATCCTGGAACGGATTTCTGAGCGGGTGGAAGGGGAAGCGGAGGAGGGGATGAGGACGCGCCTGTGCCACGCCATGCAGGGATAGGGGAGGGTGTTTGTGTGCTTTTGTTGTGCAGGGTTTTAAAATCCCTGTCTGGTGGCGGCGTGCGGTCCTCCCATCCTTCACTTTGTGCGTGGGTGCTTTCTTTCTTTCTTTAGATCTTGCGAAGAAATTTTTAACACCCA